CCTCCTGGGCACACTGAGCTCCACAGAAACCATTCTGTGAGCTGGTCCCTCATTAAATCAGCAAGACACAGAGCAAGGCAAAGTGGCACCACTCATGGGCAGGTCCCAAGAGGGACCCAGGCCTCCTGGGTCCTGAATGTCCATCTGAAAACCTTTCTGCATCAGTGCTGAGCAACACAGGTGGCCCACGTGGTGGATGCAAGGCCCTCATATGCACCTTTCCTTACTGAAGAGGCCTTACGTCACTTCTGAGTGGCTCCAGAGTAAGTGATTCTTAATTGATTTCTAATATTTCCTAGTCTTGATTTCTCAGCTATGCTCTTGACTAATAAAGTGCCTAATTATCTATTTAAAGTATGAATGAATTCAGTCTTTGCTGATCTGCTGAGCAACATTTCCACCAAAATGAGAACACAATCTAAGAATCAAAATGGGAATAGCTGTAAATGATGAATCAACATGGCTACAAGTAATTATGACTTTTCCTTTTTTCTGGATTCACTTACAAATTAAAAAGAAAAGAAAAGAAAAAAAACCATTGAGCAAATAAACTTGCAAATTTTCAGATAAAAATGATGCAGTATTCACCCCATAATCAAAATATCACAATCAAGTATTCAAGGTCTTTGTATAGAGAAGCTCTTGTCTTCTACATCAATGGTCATATAACTGGTTGGTACCAATTTAAGTTCTGGAATGTATACTTAAGATTTCATAAAACTGCATCTTTTAAGCAATGAAGAATTGAGCTTAAGGAGAAAAGGTGCATTCGTTTTAATGTTAAGGCTTTCTTTAATTAAACAATATTTTAATTGTGAAATGAAAATACACTCAGGAGAACAGTATCAGCCATGTGGAAGAGGGTTCTGTATTTAGTCTCAAGTAAATAAAAATGTACTTTTTGAAGAGTTATGAGTCAAAAGAATGAGGGACTTTGTTCAGAGGGAACAGTCAGGCTGAGGTCCCTCTGTGGCTGGCTTTTCGCCTGTGGCTGAGGTCCTGTGGCCTCGGGCTCTGCTGCAGCAAGGGCTGCAAAGCTTACACCCCCAGGCAGGGCAGGTTCTGGCTCCCAGGGGGCTGTCCTGGCTGTGCTTATGATCTTTTGACTCTGAAGATGATACTGCATCTTTACCAAAAGCAAGACGCCACAAAAGCAAGCATCCACAGGGACGAGCAGCAGCGGGCACACTGTCGCGGTGACGGGAAGGCCGCTGGCCGTGTAATGACTAGGGGAGAGCGCACGCACGGAAAGCAGGCACATTCAACGTGTAGCAGGGAATGCAACTCACACTGTGCCGGTAGAAGGGGTCAACTTTTGTAGGGTATTTGTCAAACTGTAAAGGGATCAAAGCAAAAACTAGTTACTTCATCTGCCTTTGGTTCACTGTTCAGTGGAGGCAGCCTACAGCTTCTGTGTCACTGAGACATCACCAGACCCTGCAACCTCACTGGATAGGAGCCACCTGAGCTCCTGAGCCTCTGGCAACCCCGAGTCCAGTCTGCCCATGCGGCGCGGTGTCTCGGGCCCTGGACGCCT